CATTGAACTAAATCAATGTTTAAGCTTATGTCAATTGTGAACCCAGGAGCGAATCACCTTCCTTTTTTTTTAAAGCGGATAAGTAGTTTAGAAAAAACCCAATTTTGAACAAAATTGGTTCAACAGTTTGACAAAAACTGTATTAGATTAGAAACGTAATTGAAGCATATCAAATGGCTGGGTATCGGTTACTGCATACCAAAAAAGCTAAGTTTTTTAAAATGATTGCGAATAGTGACCACTGCAGACGGGCAAACGTGTTGAGACAAGCGCAGAGCGTCGACACGCGGCCAGAGCCCGTCGCCGATTATGAACCAACACTCGGTTCTGAAGTCTTCAACCTTTTTTTATTGATTCCGTCTGGGGATTTCTGCTAAAATTTGCCTTTTTGTTTACAAAATTTTTGATAATGTTGGACCTTTATTTTGGCTTAATACCGACCGTTTTGGTCTAATTTTTTGATTTTGAACTTAGCTTGGATCTCTTTAATTTATTCTTTGTTTTATAAAAAATCAAAATGGCATCGCAATTCTTTCGAAGGTACCATAGGGGTGCATAGCTGAAGGGATCTTCCAAATTTTTGCATAATAGTAACACTTTCAATTTTGTGTAATTTAAATTTTGTCGTATGTGGCCTCTAATTTCATGATTACCAAGTTTACGAATTCTATTTCTTGAGAAGTTTTCAGCTATAATTAAATAAGATTGGAGTAAAAACCGGGGCTGTTTACATAAGGCAAAAAACTTTGGTTTATAAAGTGTGTAGAGTAGCTTGAGACTGACGTAATCTTTTTAAAAATCCCCCCCTCCCAATTTTTCAAAGGGGGAGAGATTGTTAAGTTGATTCAGAGTGTACACTTTAGCAGAAATTCACCAGCTTAGGAATCTTTCTCAAATTCAAGGACTAATCGCTCTGTGCTTGGTAACTTAGTTTTCCTCTATTTAGCAATAGCCTGTAGAGAAAATGGGAGGAGATTAATTGCTAGGTTGAACATTCACACATACATAATCATTGATTTAATTCTCTTTAAGGTTCGTAAATGTTTATTAAATACAATAAGAAGGAAATACGAAAAACGTCCTGAAAATTTTCGGTTAAAATTGATACTTTTTGCCCAATATAGTTTTTCCTTGATATAGCCGCCCCGAGGGCTGTATATATTTGGCCAAGACCATATTAGGCGAAATAAGTATAATTTTTGAGCGAAATTTTTTTAACATAAAAATGTATAATTGTGCAGAATTCACCCAATGACTCCTCAGAGACCATTAGCAAGAAGTAGTCGAGGACTGAAAAGCTTGGTATTGTTTGAAGTTACCGGTAGACGCGCTATGCGGGTGTTGCTTTTTCGCGGCGATAATCATCTCTAATTTTCGTATAGAGTCCTACCGTGTCTTAGCAAGCACGCATCGCAACACGTTTGTGCAACTGCAGTGGTCCTAGTTTTGTTGTGACTTGAATTACATTGCTTGCATCAAGCAAGTATGAAGCAACCGAAAGATGTAACCACAACTTCTGCTAAAATGTACCTTTTTCAAAATCAAAATTGGATCTGATCGGCTATTTTCCCCATTAATGCGAAAATGAAGGATTCGTTGCTAGGTGCAAAGTTTACATTTGCTTAACTCTTGACCTATTTCAATATAGGTGTAGCGATTATTTACTGAGCACCGTAGGGTGGAATAGTTTAAAAATCCTGAAAAAATTCGCATTATAATAACACTTTTTATTTTCGCCCATTATAGCCGACCCAAATTGAGCATATGACCTCTAAAATTCCGGATTTTTTGAAATTTTTTACTTAGATAAAAACTCTTACATGCTCATTTATTGAATTAGTTAATTAAAGGGCTGGCAATCAATTTAGGTGTGGCAATTTTTACATGGTTTTTTAAGGGGCCAGTGGTGTTCGCAAAATTGTTTTTAAGGGGGCGGTGTTTCGAAAAAAAAAATAAAAATTTTGTCGACCCCTTATTTATGTCGATATGTCGACTAATTTGATATTCCAAGCTCTCCTAAAATAGTGAAAGAACACTGTTTTGTCACAATTTTTCTGCGCGACAGCCATTTTTTCGGAAAAAAACAAGCTAAAAATGATGTTTTGAGCATTTTTTTGAACAGGCTAAAACTTTTTTTGATATTTGGCCAAAACATTGCAATTTTTCGACGTGCACTCAAATTTACGTATATTGGCGCCAAAGGTGCCTTTAGAAAAATTTTGACTTTGGCCAGACAAAAATGGATCTCGTAAAATGGGACCTTCGAAAAAATTTGGCAACCAGAATTGAAAGGGGTAGGCGCTGGCCCCTGCCCCCCACTCGGCTCGCTACTGAGGGGGGCAATACTGCCACTGAGGGAAATCCTCAAAATTTTCACTTAATTTCAACATTTTTTTCGCTTAATGTAGCCGCCCCTGAAGTTGGCCGATTATTCACTGCTTGTCTGACTAGCAAACTGATGTCTCATCGTGTGACTAAACCTTAAAAATCTACTTTTGTTCCTACTTTCGTAACAAAAGTAGCGGAGTATTTGTGCTCGGGGTGGTTTTATTTTCGAAAAATACGTCTTTTTAACTAACCACTTTTGACGAATTTTTTTTATCATTCAAAAAGTCTTAATGTCTTGAGCTTAACTTTGAAAAGATTTTTCATCTGTGATAATTTTTTGTAAAGTTATGGAATTTCAAACATTTCCATTTTGGCCAATTTGGGACAATTAACGCGCGATATATTTTGCGCTATCAGCGCGCAAGCGGAGATTTAATCCGTCTTAGAAATCGCTCCAAATTGGTTGAAGGAAGCTTATTTGCCATAATTGATTTGTTGCTAGGAGAGAAATCTATCACTTTGTACTTTAAATGGAGTGTAGGGGGATGATTTTCACAAATTAATGTCAAATGTATTTAAAAAAATTAAGTTAACATCCTTGCTTCTCAATCAATGTTTAATTAGCTTTTCTTTCAGCTAAAAATAGAAACAATGAAATGCAGATGTCAAAACATTAGATTTATTCATGCCTTTTAATCGAAAAGAATCGAGATCCATTTAGTTTTTCATTTCCTTTGATGCATTTTTTCGGTTTTAGTGGAAGTCAAAATACAGTAAATAAGTAAACAAAATCAGTTGGAACTGTCATCAATGTTATCATTTTACAAATAGTTTTGATGGCGCCTTCAATAAAAACAATTTTTACAGTGCACAAAAATTTTGAAATAAAAATTTGACCAATCGCAGAAGCATTTGCGAAATGTTTTTAATCTAATTTAGTCCATTTTCACTATCAGAAATATCATATTATAAAATGTTTCTTTTAACTAACCTATGATTAATAGTTCTGCTCTCGGGTGGTAAAATTCAATTAACTTTAGTTGATGACAAAAATTGACAGTATCTTATTAAGCCCTCGGAAAATGCTACACATCTGTTCTGGCATCTTGTAATATGCACTGAAACAATAAAAGAACCAAATATATGTTGAGAGAAAAAAAAACACGTATAGCCGGTTATTGTGCAAGTAGCACAGAATGCTCCGACCACAGCCTTAAAAAAACCTAACTGGTGTCGTTTTTTTCTGCATATTGTAATAAAAAATTTGCACGAAAAAATAGAATTTAGGCATATTTGAGAGTCATAGTAAAATAGGTCAATTGGAAAACAGTTATTGACTAGAAAAACGAAAAAAAGTTTCCAGTTTTTGTATTCTCAAAATCGCGCTAAAAATCTTAAGGAACTATCTTAACTTGAATAAAATTAAGTTTTAGCGCCTGAAATGAAGCTTAAATCAGCTTGTGTAAGCATATACGGTCATTGGACTCGAAATTAGCTCGAAATTGGACCAAAAACCAAAAAGTTTAAAACGGTTTTTCTCGACACTGTGAAAAAAAAATCAAAATTTTTAAAATTTCGATCGAATCACGACTGAGAGGGCTTTAAGATGACATATCACCTAACACAGTCCGATGATTATTTGTGGTACCTGATTTTGCGTGGAAAACAAAAAACAAAAAAACTAAAACACCCGAACACAAAGTTCCTCCCCATTTTCAATGGTCGGAACAAAAACAGTTGATTTACTAAACGATTTTAAATGATGGCTATACGTTTTTTCTGCTCTTTATTAAACTTGGGTCCGAAAGGCAAAAAAAAATCAGCACGGATTTTCTAGACAGTGGAAACAACTTTTCTGAATTTTTTAGAATCCAGATCACGACCGGAAGCGAAAGTGCTTCAATATTATTTATAACTAGACGCCATCTGACCTGTTTATTTGTAATGGCTGACTTTGAATGAAATTTTCATAATTTTTTTTGAATGAAATTTTCATAATTGTTTTGGTCAACCACATTGAGTTTCCGAGCTCTCTTAAAACACAAGAGAGACCGGGCTTTGACGATAATTTTTCCGCTGCTGGTGAACAATTGCAAAACAGGCCAATAAAGAGCAATTTTCGGAGGGCTTTGACCCTTTGGGTGATGAGGTGGTCGAATCCTTGGTTAGAGGGGAAGGGGGTCCCCCCTAAATCCGCCCTTGCCACAGACCAAAATGAGTGCCCTAATAAAAGTGCAAGCATGCTTCTTGCGAATGATCGCACCCTGTTAAAAACTGCCGCAGACGCGTTGATTTTGCAATCCCATTTAACTTAGGTTTTTCTGCCCTTAGGTTCAACTAGGATTAACCAGGATCAGAAACCGATTTGGGCTAACCTAGGGTGAGCATAGTGAGGACGGTGGTCACTCCCAGACTGGCTCTTGCGGGTGTCGCGTGCAGGTTGATCCAGAATATAGTCCAGCTCAGAATCACAATCAGCGCGGCCGGGAAGTACACCTAAATGAGCAGATTTGGGGATTTATTACTGAATAAATATTTAAATAACTTTTTTCAAGTCTCAAAAACATTTAGTTCAATAAAAGTATTAGTACATTTCAAAAGTGATAGATAAATACCAGTGTTTCAAATCTTGCAACAATTTCAAACAGTTTCAAATATTACAACAATTTCAAACAGTTTCAAATATTACAACAATTTCAAACAGTGTATTTTCTGTTTTATTTTTTATTTTGAAATGCTCAAAAAGTTAGGAGCCAAAAGAGTTCAGTTGAACAAGAGTACCTGCATGACGTAAGCAGAGTACTTTCTCTTGAGATAGATGACAGTTTCCAAAGTGGAGTAATTAGCCCCCCCGTAGATGCTCTGGCCGCTCTTCAACTCAACCCCCATCAGGTAGAAGCCGAGGTGGTCGACGTTGTTGTTCTTCCGGTCGATGTAGCAGCCACTGCCGCCGTCCTGTCGGAACCAAGTGTAGTTCACCTCTCTGCTCGTGTAGCCGAAACTCGTCAGAACTGTAGAAAAAAATTAAAGCTGACACAAAAATTATTTCAAATACTAGTCATTCTAGAGCTTGTTTGATTATATTGAGAACTATTTTTGAGTCTATATATCCACTAAAATACGAACTAGTACCCATTTTTAACACAGAAGCAGCTGAAATCCATCTAGATTTGACAAATACGCATGTTTGTTTTTGTTCCGACCACTTCACGAAGGATAAATTTATGAAGGATTTTGGTTACATCAAAGAATGCTCGTAACGAGGTAATAATTAGTATCATATTAAGATTTTTAAGACAATTACTGAATGTTTTTCTACTTTTTCTCGGAGGTAGGAAGATTTTGCGCTATTCAAACAGCAACTGGTAATCCTTGTTTCTTTTTTGCATTAAAATGTTGTTAAGCAACTAGTACGAGTGTGAAAGTTATTAACTAATTTCTTCGAAGACTTTTTTCAGTTAGAAACTTAATTTTTCAGGAAAGGAGTACTTGAATGAATTCTTGAGTCGCGTTGAATTCGTTTTAGTTATTATTAATTATTAAGATCTTTTATCCACGAGGGATAGGACCAACATACGAGCTGTACAGCTCATCACGGCGAACCGCTGTTGTGCCCCTGCTTAAGAACTACATGCAATTTTTTTTGGTTATTTTTCTACGTTATTTTCTTACGTTATTTTCTTTTTTGGTTATTTTTTTGGTTATTTTAGTCGTGATCTAATTCTTGAAATTTAATTTCAACTGCTTTCCCTCCCCCACCCCACCCCCAAAAAATCTATTTTATTTAGACGAGAATAGCAGACTGAAAATTTGTCATCAGCAAATTCATGATGTTGATGCCGAATGAAAACTCAAGTGTCCCTTTTGCGCCAAAAAACTTTTTTAGCTTGCCTCAGCATTTTCCCTCAAACTTCGACTTTAATGCATGTGTAAAATTTTTTTGACATGTTCAACAATATTCTATAATCGGTTTTTTTTATAAAACCAACCAAACTTGAGACAATTGGATTAATAGGTATATTTCAATCAGCTTAAAGTCAACCAAGTTTTTGGGCACCACCTCAAAGAACTTAATTTTTTACGTTCGTTAAAAACCTTCAAAAAATTTTCCAATGTCGAGAAAAACCGGTTTGAAATTTTTCATTTTTCGTTTTAATTTCAGTCCTTAAAACTTACTTTTAAGCAAATAAACGAGTTTTTGGAAATTTTAGCTTCTTTTTGGGAACCAAAATCTTCAAAAATTTCAAAAACTTTCTGCAAAAAATTTTAAAAATTTTTTTTTAAAACTATTTTAAGTTTTTCTTGTCATTTTTCCACAAAAGTTTTGTCCAATTTGCCGATATTACTCTGACTGTTTAATATGTCTAAATTAAATTTTCACATCAATAAGAAATGCAATAATTTGGAACAAACTTTCTTAGCCGTAGTTTTCCAAAAACCATGGTCGGAACATTCTGTGCTACTTGTTGTACATTTGAGATCCAAACAATTATGTTTTCAGGTGACAAAAAAACTTCCAAAAAAATGCAGTTGAAAAATCAAAAATTGACTGAATGAAAAACCCCCAAGCGTAAACATTTCACTTTTCTTCAAATATCGGAACAAGAAAACATAGCTCACAGACAATTGGAGAAGTGTCAATGATTTCTAGATGACACAAGTTAAACTTTAAGAAAATATATTCTCAAATCGAAATTCAAAATAGCTAATGAACAATTGGAAAAATTTCAAGAAAATCAAAATGAGCGAAAAACAAAGGCTGTCTTAGTAATCTATTTTCAACTTTAAAAAAATAAATATCACCTTAAAATGTGTGAATTTCAAAATCTTTCATGATTGACATTTTTTTCATAATACTGACCAAATTTCAGAAACTTAGGTTAAAATTTACAATGTTATTCTGCTGGAAACTTTTGAGGCTAAATCCTGTATTGGAAATAAAATTCAATCACGTTTTATTAGTAAGGTTGCCAGTGTAGAAAAATAATTTATAAAAATTACAAAAAAGAACAAAAAACTCGTGGAAAAAAATGCCTGCACCAATACAAATTTTGAAGAGTTTTCAAAATGCTGAAATAAACCAATCCTTTCTGCGCAACCTAAGCCGACAAATTTTAGCAGATACACAAATCTAATTCATTCAAAAATTTTTAGTAATATAGATTAGCAAATATACAAATCTAAATAATTCAAAAGTTTTCAGCAAAAAACAGGTCCCGATTGGAATCAAATTTCTGGGATTTGACGTCTTCAGCACAAGTGTTACTATTGCTGCAAATGCACAGAACAATTGTAGAGTTTGTAATGAAAACAATTACCAAAAACTTTTCAAGGCCATCATTAAAACATCGAAAAGTAGCAGAAAAAAAAGCAAAATTTCTTGGAACTCGATTACTTGCCCAAAACCGCTAAACACACTGAATTGTATTTACAGACACGTTCGTTAGCTCTTAGCCGCATGCGCGAATTATCGTATTTTGCTTTCATATGAACCTAAGGTGAAATGATTCAAGTGATTCTGTTAAATTAGTTGTTAACCCAAAAATAAGTCTTTATTCCGATTTGATGACGCTTGCTTATCACCAGCGTAAAAAAGTCAAAAACCCTGCTAAAATCAATTTTCAGCATGAGCATTTTTGAATATATTTTTTTGGAAAACAACAAAGAACCACACGACCCCATGAGTGTCTTCGTTTTATTTATTGAATGTTAATAAAAAGATATCAAGCAATAAGCCTCATTTCTACCACTATAGCTGCACCAAAAAATATTGTAGATTAGTTTAAAGCTACCATCTCAAGATGGGCGCTAATGCCTGGGGCGAACATAATTAGTCATGATTAAAGTTTTGACAAAAGTCAAGTTTTCGCTTCATATGTTTATCCAATCAAAGTTAACATTTTGATGGCCCTGGTCGTGCTTGGTCCTCATTTTTTCCATCGAGGATGTCAAATTTTTTACAAATTGGGACTTTTTTTATGCTCCCCGTTATCAGTATGGGGCTGAATAAGCTCAAAACTTTAAAAAAAGAATGAGCAAAATTTTTTTGACCTTAGGACCTGAATGAGCTCAAATTTAAGCACAGGGGGCTGATTGACTCCAAACTTTTTGGGCTCAAATTTAAAATGGCTGGGCGATGAATGAGCCTAATTATTAGTAAAATGGTCTTCTTTAATGCTCCGCAATTTGCCATAAATGGAGATGAATGAGTTCAATTTTCTTACACAATGTACCCGATATTGGGCTCTTTTTTCTAAAGACTAGGCAAATAAGTGAAAATTGACCAAATTGGACAAATTGAACAAATTGGGCTTATAAAAGCGTCTGTGTCTGAAAATTCAGGTCAAAACAGTTTATGTTCATTCAGCTTGATTTAAATCCCCTTTCTTTTCGAAACTGCGTCAACCCTGTTGTATAGTTTTATGTATGTCTTATGTCATTAGAAAATTATGTCATAAGAAAATGTTCTGCTTCAAAAAATCAGGATTCAAAAATGATAGATTGTGTCGCAAAATTTAGTTGATTTTGTTTGGTTTCATCCATCTGTGTATAATTTCAAAGGCCAATTAGCTAATTGATGAAAAAGTTTCAAAGTGATGGACAGCGCCAAAGGCCAGTCACATCAGTTATAACGCCAAGTACATGAATATGTTTTCTTGTATTAACAGTTAAAGAGATGAAATGATATTACCAGTAGCAGTAGGTTGATATAGCGCTTAATTCTTATAACATAGAGAGATGGTACGTCTAGGATAATGTTATCTCAAAGCAGTGCCAGCGAAGTATTTTTATACCATTTTCTTCAACAACATCAAATGATTTGCAAATTCTTTGACAAGTTAAGTTAACCGAAATTTGGCGTTTCAGAATAAATTTTATTACATGCTTCAAAATTTGAGTATCTTTTCTTCGATTGCAAATTTACCTTTTTAAAAATGGCCCTTGGCGCCAAAAATTTGCCAAAGTTTTCTGAACTCCTGCATGTTTCAAAAAATAAATCAAGCGCATTGAACCACGAAGCATCAACTCTTCCGTAACAAATTAAAAGTATTGCCTCGAATCAGTCAACGATTGCAGAAGAAAGGTTAAAACTTAAGTCAAGATTTTTGATATGATCCGGATTATGGCCAGTGGCTAGGCAAATGAAACCAATAAAAACTTCGTTCAGCCGGTATAAAAATGACAGGTGTTTCCTTAGATTCTGTTCTCGCTCAATTGAGCATGCTTGAAAAAGCTTATAAAACGATCTGTTTGATGAGACCCATGTTAACCCGACAGTGCAATGAATCTTTTATTTTTGAGCTTCGCAAGAGTTCATAGCTCTCCACCTATTTAACGTTTAGCGCTTATCTATAGCAAGGTAGTAGTAGCCAGGGGCGGATCTTGGATTTTCTCGAGGGGGGGGGGGGGCGGATTTTCAAAAAATTTTCGAAAATTTTGTCGACCTTTTTTTTAGGGTCGACCGAATTGCTTTTCTGAGCTCTTGCAAAGCACTACAAAGACCCTGTTTTTGCCAAAATTTCTGCACCGCAGGCAAAATTTTGAAAAAAACAGGCCAGAAGGGCGCACTCCTCCCTCAAAATTAGTATATTGGCGCCAAAGGCGCCTTTAGAAAAATTTTGGGGTTGGTCGGCCAGAACTAGAATCCGATCCCCCCACCCCCCCCCCCCCCCGCATCCCCCCTAAATCCGCCCCTGGTAGTAGCTATATGCAAGTAGTACAGAAATTCCGACCTCTGCAGAAAAAAAATAGAAGGCCAATAATTGATTATTTTGTCAAATTTTGGCCAGTTTCTTGGGTGATGAGGGAATTATGTTGAGGTTGAAGTTTGGTAAAAGGTGCTAGGCCAGTTTGGTAAAAAGTGCTAGCCATTCTAATCACTCTTTTAGAAATCAAATTATAATCAATTATAATACATTTTGATTGATTTCCTTCGGTTAAAATTTTATCTTTTTTTTTATACAACTATAATCGATTAAGATCAGTTATGAGCCTATATAATCGATTATGATCGATTATAATCAATTATTTTTATCCCAATTTCTAATTCATGTGTTTTGCAAAAAAAACATTATATTCGATTATAATTGATTATAACCCTAATTGTTTGCCCATTTCATCTATGACGTTGCATCTGAATGCTTATATTTTACAATTTTCGTGGACTTTGGTTTATCTAAAAAATGATAAATTATTTTAAATAATTTCAAATGAATTCAAACTTAAAACGTTTTCGTTTTTTTCTTTTACAATTGTTTTTTGATGCACATTTTTCAGTTTTTTAACCAACAAAACTTCAGCACATTGTTTAACTTTATTTGGAAGTTTTAATTTTTACCTATCATGGAAACTTTTCAACTAATATGAAAAAAATCTCTATTAAACTTTTTTTTCGTGGAAGAATTTTGTGTTAAATGAACCAAAGTATGACAATGCATCTCACTTTGGGACAACACATCTCTCAAAGATGTGGCATTTCTTCTCTGAATTATAAACGATTTAAAGAGCTTTTTGTATGAACTATAATCAATTATAATCGATTATAAGAGATTGTAATCTGTTGGAAAAAATCACGATTCATATCGTTTAAAAATCTTTTAAATAGCTTATTTTGTAATTATATCAAAAATTGTAATCGTCAAAAAATCAATATAATCAACTGTTATAACCGAACAAAATTATTACGACCAAACTTGGATACAGGTGAGCGCACATCACATCATCGTTTATCTCTTCAAAGCAACAAAGGTTCAGTTGAAGCTCGTTAGAATAGTGCGAAGCGCATTCGCTTAGAAGCACGTACAGTCCAGATTCGATTGCCATTCTGAACTTTTATTTCACCGTCATGTGTTGAGCTCAACATTAAAAAGATATTTTACCTCCCGCACCGAAGTTTCTCCAATAATTATCTATTATCTGGCGATTTTGTGGTCGAACCAAAAATTGTTCTTTTAATAATCAATTATCTGGTGATTTTGTGGTCGCAGAGTAGAATAATCGATTATATGGAGAAAAAAATCCATTAAAAAACTCTGGTTTTATGTCGATTACATTGGAATTATAATAGATTATAAGAGATTCCCGCACCGAGTGCCCATGGATCATAATCGATTATATTGTCATAATATGGTCCGCAATAAAATGACAAAATAATTTATTATAATCCATTAAAAATGGATTATAATTCTAATATTTTTTTGTCAATATAATCCATTATAATCGATTTTAATCGATTAAAATGGATTTTTTCGAGGGGTTATTCATGAAATTTACAATTTATTTAAAGTTCTCTTATTTCCTGTTTAGTGCAGTTGCTACGTATTACGTGTCATAAAATGTTACATTTCAGAACAAAATTTCTATACTTTTTGCTCTCTGTTTTTAAATTCATCGCAGTTTAACACTTCATTTTTCTGTTTTTCTTACCACAAACTCCCCCCCCCCCCCCCCAGTTTAAACACACCCTCAGTTAACCCCCCAGTTCACTACCCCCACCAGTTTACTACCCCCATCCCCCTCCCCCAGTTTACGCCCCCCACTATTTACCCGCCCCCCAGTTTACCACTTTACCCCCCCCCCCACCCGGTTTGTTTACCCATCCCCCCAGTTATGCCTCCCCCCCCCCAGTTTACAACCCCCCACCCCAGTTTACCCTACCCCTTAGTTTTTGTTGCAATTTTTTGGCAGTTTTATGGCGAATACAATGATTTTATTGCAATTTTATGGCGATTTCAGGGCGAAAAAAATAGATTTTATTGAGATTATGTGGAGATAAAAATACATTTTAGTGGAATTACAAGGAAATATATTCTTGATGAAAATAATCTATTTTCTTTCTATTATAATAGAAAATGTTGCTTAAATTGGTTACTCATAATCAATTATAATGGCAACACTTTCCGCAACATTTTCGCAATATAATCTATTTTTATCCGAGAAACTTCAGTGCGGGCTGTAATTATATTTTGAAAAGTTATCTTATTCGATTTTTAACTAGCATTTGTTGACAAAAAATTACTGTTGAACGGAGCTCAAAGCTCAACAGATAATTGACCTGTGATCATGTTTTGTAAGTAATGAGGTTTTAAAGATTGCCAATTTGACTAATTTGGGTGCTATTTCGTGCTATTAACGTGTATGCAGAGATTTAATCCGTCGTAGAAATCGTTCCAAATTAAATTGAGGCATGGTTTTTGGTCTGTTTAATACTCTGCTACACGCGAAATAGATCATTTTATACTTAACAAGCGCGTGGGGAGATGATTTGCAAAAAAAAACTCAAAATCAATTGAATTTTTCTTTCTTTTTTTCGAAAATTTTATCAATTTTTTTAATCGAACATTACTCCATAGATCTTAAGAGGCAGTCGGAGCATTCAGGGCTCCGTCCTAATATGAGCAGTTATGTTGGTGTTTCAAAAGCAGAATATTATATGCCAGGGGTTCGAATTATTCTAGTTCTAGTGGGATAATTCAATGAACCCATCAGTTTTATTCTACTGAGGCCAAAAGGTGAAAAAAAAAAACACAATTCTCCAATCTCTTGAAACACATTAAAATGCAACTAGCATCATTCGGAACCCCACGGGTTAAAGAACAGGAAAGGCATGGGTTCCGGGGTCAGTGGGTATACGTCATATTGAAGGCGGAAGCTCCCCCTCAGACTTCTGTTCACTAAATAGTCCCTACCTCTCAATGGCGGAAGTTTTTAACCGGTTTCTTCCCAATGCTGGCTGTGAACGCTTCGGTTGCTTCTTGCAAAAAATTAAGGTCAATTATGCTAGAAAATTGCAGAGCAGAGGGTAACTTGTAAAAAAAATCAAACAATTTTGTATCTCACAATTGTGTCCGTGGATAATTTGACCAAAAACTATAGACGAAATTCTCCAACAAAATTTTCCCAATTATTTTTTAATGAACCTTAAGTACAATATATTCGAAACCATTTTTTATTCCTTTCTTGAAGCGCGTAAAAACCAATTTTGTTGAGCAGATGCATGGCTTGAATAAGAATTGTCCTTAAATGTCGTCTCTGAATAAGAATTGAATAAGAATTGTCCTTAAATGTTTATGTGTTCCGGGCAAAATTATGGTCAAGTATCCGGTCACAGCAGGCGGTCTCGTCATTCAATTTGCTCCTAGACATTTTTAACATTCGTTAAGTTTAATTTAGTCTTTTAACATTTAAACAGGTGAATAAATTGTAGCCTTCGACTGTTTTAGGAGAAATTGACCCACCTAAAGTGCACCTGACGACGTCGAACGGGAAGAGCATGACATTGGGGGAGCAGGGGGTGCTGAGTTTGACCTTCCTGTTGTACTCAACTGACCCTTCCTGACTGACCACAATGTACTGCTCCTCGTCACTGTAGATTAGGTCTCGCACTAGCAGGAAGTAAGTATCCGGATACCACACGTCATTTGGAAGCATGCGACCGGTGACCTTGAACATAGAAACATATACTAATTGTTTATAGCAGTAGAGCGGGGAGGTGAATGGGGTTTAAGGACGACTGACTTTTTCCCTCTCAATTCTGATTAATAACGCATTTCCCTCAGGTACTATTTTACGACCTCCATTTTTTTGGACCAAATCAGCATTTTTCTGATTTCAGCAGACTTTACAGACATGTAATTGCGCGTGCTGAAGTCTACATGAATGCAGTGAGTAGAACCAAAATAGGGAAAATATGGCAACCCGGATTGATTCAAATAAACGGTCGATGCCAAGTTGAAATCTTCCGTCCAGCACTTGTTTAAGAAAAGGATTGGAGTACGACGGTCAAATTTTCAATGACAAAGATCAGTAACCTGTAAGTAAAAGGCCAAACGTCAAAAACAGTGAAAAAATAACACTTTTTGATGGCATTCCTTCCAACGAAAATTGTTGAACTTTCGGCAATAAACGTTTGTCATTGACTGTGACAAAAAAAAGTTTTATCTGAACATTTTTATTTACATGGGGCATGTTAAACACGAAAATCATTGCGGATTCGGATCTCTTCAACTATTAAACCACCTTTTGCATAAGGAGGGAAATTCGTTACTAGGCTCAAAATTCACACAAGCTTAATCGTTGAAATATTTCATTATAGGGGTGGCATTTTGTTACTAGGTACCATTAAGTAGAATAGTTGAAAAATACTGAAAAATTTTGCCTCATATTAACACTTTTATTTTTGTTTTATATAGTTTTTGCATATTCTAGCCGCCACCTAATTGACATATGATCCTTAAGAGTTCTGATTTTTTTGGATTCTTTAATGAGATAAAAATTCACATATTCTCAATCGTTGAAATTTTTTATAGGCTTGGCAATAGCTTGCTAGATACCATAGGGTATGATAGTTGAAAGAAGCAAATATATGGCGAAAAATCAATTTTTTTTGTCATTATATGGTACAAACAATAAATTTTGTTGAGATTATATGAGGAAATCACAATAGATTATATTGCGATTATATGGAGAAAAAAAGTACATTTTCCTGGTTTTATATTGTTTTACATACGGTGTAGTATCCGTAGTAAAGGTCATGGTGCTAAGCTACCACTGCTAATTGACACCTGCCACTTAAAGTGCATGTTTCACGAATTAGTTTGACGTTCTCACTATCTCGCGTTGCATTAACCGTTGAAAGATAACGGTTGATATTTCATTCATAGAAACTAATTTGTAACCAACTCGATATCCATTGTATACAATTTACTATTGTCATAGAGTTTTTAACTTAGTTTAGTTTAGTACTTCTGAGGATATCTCATGGCTCAGCCAGCAGTCGTACAAACGGATGACAGAACGGATTTGTTAGAAGTACCAGTATTCTGGGGAAAAGTATCTGCAGAACCCCCGTTTCTTTGTGAAACATGGGTGGGACAATTCGTCCTGTCTTCCTGGCAAAATCCCTCAAGGAAGGCTGTGACCCTATCGTACTACCATCAGATCCAGATCCGGTATTCGACGATCCACCACCAAAACCAGAAGCAATACCAACCTCAGAAACACCAGATGAAACGAACAATAGAACAGCACGAGGCGCGGCAGCTATCCAGAAAGTGACGGAAAGCAGTTCACAAAGGAGAAGAAAACGACAAAAAAAATTTGCCCGAACTCGTATTACCACGAAGCGGACAACCGGGTGAAAACCAGAAGTTTTTTTGCCCTCTGAAAGGAAAGGAAGAAAAGATTTCTCCAACAAAATGCACACAAAAACTTAAATACCTTAAGCTTCAAAAAGTTTCATAAATTGTGCGAAATACTCATCAGGAGAGAAAAAAGCTAAATTGTAGAAAGAACGCAATTATACAACGCGCACCAGGGTGATAAAGAAGGTCTTGAAGTTTTTTTTTCGTCTAGCAGGACAAGCATCAAAAAACAAGAAAAATTTGCATTAAACCGGGCAACTCCGTAGAAGACACATTAAATGCAGCCGTTTTACATGAAAAGGATTTTGCGACAGCTAGTTTATTACAAAGCAAAAAACACTTTTGGAGGCGGTAACTCGAACTATAATCCTTTTAAGGTGAAACAAAAACCCTAAATGCCAAACCAAATGGAGGAAAAACGTCCACAGTAGGATGAACCGGGCCCTGGGCAACAACAAAAACCAGAAAAGTAGGAATTTTACTTCCAGTCGGGAAACCAGTGCTCCTTAAAACATTGTTATTTTTGCGGCATTAATTTTACACTTGAACATTAAGACAAGTTTGCAGCTCGAAACGTCAATTGTAATCTGTGTGGGGAAAAAGGCTCCTTTCGCAAAATGCTGCGATTCAAGCAAACCACAGGTAGACAATGTCATATCAGATGAAGAAGACGAAGAAACGACTATATTTATCAGTCAAAAACTTAGAAGTTATCATTGTTGCAACTGGGGAAAATGTTTGAAGGCCACAATTAGTGCGAAAGAAGCACTATTCAGCGCGGATTTGGTACGGGAGTTCCGGCATCTTTTGTCAACAAAAAGACAGCTGATATGTTTTTATCCCAGGAACCAAAAGCAAAAACCTTAACAATTCAAGAAAGACCAATCACCACGTCTTACGTTGATTACAGCCACAGACTTTTTTCCCTAATCGGAACACTATTAATAGATATCAACTCAAACGGCTGGGTGAAGAAGAACGCAAATTTGCTAATCTCTGAAAATAGAACACGTTGCCTACTAGGCTTAGACTTACAACCTGATCTAGGTATTATGACAAAACCACTGCAACCACCAAACACAGTCAGCAAGATCGCAAAATCAGAAGAAGAAATCGAGTCGACAATATCAAAAAAGTCGAAAGAACGTTTCATCAAAGATATGAAGATTAGATTGGGCAGGTCAAAAAACCATAAAGTAAAAACTCTTTTCAAATCGCCGTTGATACCTATATAAGAAAAGGGAAGAGGAGTCACGATTCACATTCAACAAAGCTGGGCAATGAAATTCAGAAACTAATCAAGGAAGGATTTTTAGATAAATGAAGAAGAGACCATATCGTAGCCCCGGTGGTAAAGACTGCGAAGCAAGACGGTACATTAAGACTGGCGATAGATGATCAAATTCTCAAAAACTGATTCCAAATCCACTAGGGCTCTTAGTTTCAGCAGCCATAATCGTAACAGCAAATATCAATGGAAAAATGCGGAAACATAAAGGCATTTGATGTGAATGTTTCACGAATGAGTTTGAGGCTCTCATTGTCTCGTTTTGCATTAACCGTTGAAAGATTATGGTGGATAACTATATTCAACGAAACTACTTTGTAACCAATTTGATATCCATTGTATACAGTTTACTTTTGTCACAGAAACTTGAACTTAGTTTAGTTCACTACTTCTAGGGGTTCTAGGGATTATATGGAGAAAAAAAATTCATTTTCCTGGTATTAAAAAGAAAAAAAAACAGATTATAATTCCAAATTATTTGACACATCTATGAGTATTGTCTATCATAAAGCCCATATAATCTTATTGTTGTCTTCGAACATAAAATTGTCTCATAAATGATTGTTGATCCGACTTTGAACTAAAAGGAATACTTACACTTGGTTTCGTTTTTTTTCGGTCAATTTTCGGCGACAGATATAAAATTTTTATAGAAATAACAAAAAATTAACCGAAACAACAAAAAGTGTAGCTAATTGAAGTATCGAATTTTTGAGCTCAAATATAAAAAAAATATTTTAACTATTTTATTTTTGTAAATTTTTGGGGGGCTTAAACATTGCCGGTTTGGTAATGTTTTGGTTTAAATTATGTGCGCTTTGAAGTGTTTGTTGATAATACTGAGAGCGTAAGGCTAATTATCCCGCACAACTTAATTGTTCCAAATTGAATTGAGACTACGTAATTGGGTGTATTAATTCCATACACGACTCAAATTTTTACACTAGATCTTGATATTGTCCAAAAATTTATTCTATATGGATTAAGGGGCAGTCGGAACTTTCAAGGCTTTGCTTTGATATACGAGCAGTCTTGCTAGAGGTTTAAATTAGTTTTTGAAATTTCAATCGCCAGATAATTGATTATTCACGGAGAAACTTCGATGCAGGGTGAAAACACAATTGCTCTGCAGTGGAAAAAATTATCTTTAAATGAGTTGAAGCTAAAACATTAAAACTGGAGATGGACGCGAAGCCGATGAATGATCAAGTTCTCAAAAACTGATTTCAAATCTACAAGAGCTCTTATGTTCAGCAGCCCAAACCATAACATCAAATACCAATGGAAAAATTTGGCTTACATCTCTAGATCTAAAGGATGCATTCAATCAATTAAGTCTTGACGAACCGATAGGAAAACACTGCAACTTTAGTAATGTATGTGGAGAACACACTGGCACATATAGAATCAAAACAGGCTTTTACCGATAGGCAGACATGCCAAAAGAGTTTCAAAAGGAGATGGATTATACATTTGGCGGTAATCCTGAGTATTCTGCTTTTTAGTTGATATTTTAATCGGTTTGAAAGGATACATCTTAGATCATAACAAAATTGTCGATAAAAACATGAGGAGAACAGATGAAGAAGGATCCATGATAGACGCGGCTGCTTATTTGTGATGGCCAAGAATGCATCGTGAGATACCTGACCAGTGCCAAAATCGTCGATGGTGTTCTTTTTATGATTGGGAGTATTCAGCAAAAAATATTCTAATTCCGGAGGAAACGAGCGAAAATCGGACTCCAGAAGCAGACTCAAGGCGATACCAAAAGAGGGAACAGATGCACCACTCAAATTCGGAAGGTAACAATCAAAAGATAAGAAGATCGCAGTTTTTGAGAGTCTGGCCAAAGCGGCCAGTGAGTGGAGAATTTTGAAACAAAAATTGTCGCACACAGAAGGTTCAGAGACTTCGAGGAGGTTAACTGTGCAAGTAACACTTCTTGCAGCCAGCCTGAGAAATGATCTGAATCAGGGACTCTCAGATTCAGGACAGAGAAAGACAAGAGT